ATAACAATTATTTGCACATCCTTGCCACCGATGTGGGCTAAATGCCCTACACGTAGTTTCACAGAACTTTGACAGCCGTAGAAACAATACAACACAATCTATGTTACTCTTCATGTATTGTTTACAAATAGACGAACATATAAGGCTATGCTATCACTAAGAGTCGACTATATATCATTGAATCTATCGTATCCCTGTGCCCAGGACGGTTAAACCTACCCTGTTAATGCTGAAGTCGTAGAAGATAACTGCGTCCTCCCCACAGCGGGCGTCCGTCTGTTTGTGTTCGCGGTACCACCGCGCAAACTCCTCTTCTCCTCCACGGCTGGTACACGGAAGAAGAAAACAGAACATTTCTTTAACTTTAAATACGTTAACTTTGTCAGCATTCATAAGAGGAACAACAAGAATACAGGGGAAGTTCGCAATATTATATTTGTTAGTTCATTGTGACACTTAAGAAGAGTGGTGGATGTCACTCGAAACGTCCGGAAATTATCTCCGTAATTTATCCAGTAGTAGAGTTTAAATTTCCTATGAGTATTGTTTACCTAGATGTCTAACCTTCATCAACGTATAGAAGAAGAATTTTTTGCATAACTATTGCCTCGAATACGAATCTACCCTGTAGAGATCCATACCGTAATGTACTAGAAGTTATGAACTAATGCACTAATCTGTCTGTGTAGTTTACGCCTTTTGAAAGAAACCGTAACGATAACTTGCAATAAGCACGACGAAGGTTATGTACTGTGTTTTGAAACCCCTCACAATAGGAAAATTGCAATATATACTCACTAGCTGTAGTTCTCAACTACAGCGAGAATGACGATAAACCCGTTGTCGTTTGTGGATGACGTGGGACAGCGGATTCCACACGGGCACGAGGACTTGTGGATCCCGTCCAGGATAGTGTTCAACTCCTCGACTAGAGAGAACAAAAACACGTTATATATAGTACACTCACTCACTCACTCACTCACTCACTCACTCACTCACTCACTCACTCACTCCTCATGCACTTGACTATATCTACAATAAGCTATAATTATACCAGCACACATCTTCTACATGTTCACAGGTGTTTGAAAGTATGCCTCTGACGCTGGTATACAAGACATGCTCGTGAATGAACTTATCGTAAAGCTCCTCTGCCATGCATGTAACATTCATTTTTTCATCTCTAGATTTTGTATGATTTTGTCTACTAGTCTACATGCTTTGTAAATGCATCCTCAAGTGTGTGAGTGAGCTTGGGGGGGGGTAAATTCTAAAATTGGCAAGTTCCCAACAAGGTCTTTGTGGCTACTGAGTCGCGTTAAGCATTGGTATAGTATAACCTGACCATATTGTAACCCCACATATATTCAATGCAATTCCTGTCTCATTCTCCAGAGTGATAACACCTACCCTGTTCTCTTGAGAACATTCTGTTGGGATCACAGACCCAGGAGTAATTACTGCGGCCGCAGGCAGCGAAGTCGTCCCGAGGGCTGGGGTACTGTTCCCGGTTCTGTACGTCCCACACCGTCGGTAAAGTCTGTCCTAGCGAGCCGCCCAACAGGCAAGCTAGAAGTAGAACTCCTACAAAAAGTCTCACTCGAATCATGGCGTCCTCTTCTCGGTTAGACCAGGTAGGACATGGGGATACTAGTAATCAGTTTGTTTTGTAGAGTCGTTTTTCAAGATGGCTTCTGTTGACTAACTAGCATCCAGGTATGCTGTTAAGATTCCTTCAGGTGAGTTGTTGTGACGACAAACTGCTCGGACAGTTGCTCAAGTGCCCTTCGTCTTACTCTCCCAGAGGAAGCTCCAACTCTAACACAAAAACAAAACACTGTGAATATCTAAATAATAAGATACACCTACAAGCTAACCTTTTGTGCTCGAGATCAGGGGGCAAAACGTGACGACAAGATAGCCCCAGGGCCAGGGAAGAACATGCCAATTTTTCTGTACACAACTTTTACCACGCAAACGGCACATTTGAATTACATGTACACCAAAGAGAAGACGGAGCAGCAATTTTCATCAGCATTTAAAATAGATTTGTTAGTTTTTATACTCATTTTTACTCTTTTAAATGTTGAATGTTAGTAGTTTTCCCTACAGAAGGATCGGACGGTCTGCACGTGATATGCTTCACTAAATCCAGTCTTTCCAGTTTTGCAACTTTAGCCTGAGACTCTCGGTCCCAGTAACTCTTGATCTCGTTCTCAGGTCACACATGCCAGACGACGGATCTTTAATTTCTAAAAGCTTCTTGGCCAGGACAAGGGCGTAGAACATGGGCAAAGGACTTTTGAAGGACAATGCACTCTCAGCTTCAAGTATATTTTCTTAAGATAGCAGTTAAACCTTCATTTTCGAACTTAAGCATCCCTTAACTATTGGTTGAATCTTTAGATTTCGCATAACATTTCTTGTGTCAAAAATAAGATCAACTGATTTTTTGTATGCCAACCTGTTTTGTCCATTGAGATTTCCATAGCATACATAGGCTAAAACTTGTACGTCTTCATCTGCAGCAGTTCGTACGGAATCCGCTAGGGAGCAATGTTTGTTTTGTTCGCTGACGCCGCCACAATACGTGTATTAGTGATCAGTGATGTGAACACTCGCACTTACAAGCATATATAACTCGGGGTTATTGTATCCATCGTGAACAAATAAGTAACCATCGTTAAAGGCCCTCCTTTCATTTGAAAGATCGAATCAGTATGGTTTGATGGGAAACGGTCTGAATATCTATGATTTTAAGCTTGATGAAAAGTAAATCAATGATACACAAAGTGTACTCAACCAATCAGGTATCATGAACAAATTACATGTATGAGCATTTTTTGTGATCAATTGACTACCGGCCCTTACTAGCTGGTGCGTACCAACGGCCCATGTCGACCTATATGGCTGGCTGATCTTCTACTGACTTTGCAAACAATCTAAACAGGTCAGGCATATCCTCAAACTGACGCGTAACACAGACCATGTAAATAACAGAATTTGATGACGAATTTGGTAATTCAAAGTCTGATTCTATGTCTGGGAAACACACTAGACTATAGCTACGAACAACTACTTTTTTTCGCGACGTTTTCTTTTACCTGCGCCACGATACAATTAATGGCAGGTAGATAACTAGAAAAGATCACATGGCGCAACGTCATGGAGTGCACAGAAACTTCACATGGCCACATCTTATTATTTTTGATCGCCTCTTGGCATAGCGTTACTTATAGAAATGTCTTTCACACAACATATACGTGTAAACAAACAACACAGAGCAAGGAGGTTGGAGACAAGATTTTAAACCTCCTTGCACAGAGGCATACAAGTAGCGGAGACTAAGGGACGAAAACAACCAAAGTACGAATAGATAGAGACATTGTATACGTACTAATAACGGTGTCCGTCCTTACCACGCGTTATACCGTCCTCAATCTTAAGTTCGTTCTTTTTAGCTGGACGTACTACAGGTATATTGTACACCACCAAATAGTCGGGTTTCGTCGACAAGATGTCGGAAATGTCGTTTCACATCGTCACACACGGCTTAGGCAACCTGTTCTAGGCTACAAGAGACTCCGATGTTATTGTACCTACCCTGTTGACGAATTTCAGCGGACAGCATAACCAACAAATCGTCACGTAAAGGAACTTTATAGAGATGCAGACGTGACATAGACGGCAAGTGCTGGAAACGTGGGTCCCAATAAAGTCAAGAAATATGGCTGCCCTCACGAGGAGTGACACCTGATCCCTTTCTTTTAGTCCACACCTTCATGCAAAATGGGCTAAGTACCCAGCAAACCTGTGTACACACAAGCCAGGGGAGCGTCTAGTGACTCAAATAAATCTTAAACACGAGGAGGAAGCGAACGAAAAATCAGAAACGTGGCGTCTAAATCTAGAATACCTGAGGAAACTAGATGGTTTCCTTCTAACTGACTTACCTGGAAAAGTATCCTGTGTTCCACCTAAGCTCGTGCCTGTCATGCCATGGTCCAGCTGACACCACACAACACCGACAAAACACAAAGACAGGAGTCACGCAGACTGCACCAAAAAGGGAACGAATCCAACACGCGAAAGGTCGCTTATTTTTCTTCTAAAAGGGTCCTTCAGCACGATGGAATGTTGTACAGTGTAGGAGTAAAATGTTTCACGGCATTGGCCTGGATATGCAACACCCTATGCGTATCAAATCTTACGCTAGTTATTGTCTTAGGAAGATGAGTGTGGTATTAGCATTTCGGGGGTGTATAGACGTATTAGCTTTGAGATTGTTTAGTAAACTTTGGACCTTTACAAATCTCCCTATGGCCGTCGTACTGAATAGAAAGCCGAATGTTTTGTGTAAATACACGTACGAAGCATCCTCTTACACCGAACTACAGTTGTCACTTCGAATTCTTTTCACAGATATTATGACGCAATCAGCTTCAGTGGGCCAATCAGCTGAATGCCATAATTAGGTAGAAGTCACATGACTCAGAGGAAGATAGTGATTGGAGGAAAGTTCATTTTGCAAAGGCCATACCAAGTAAACTTTAGGGGTGATGCCCTGTAGACACCCCAAATTTGATGCCTTTGAAAAGAAATTGCAATAAAAGGATGTCTAGATTTCGAAAAGAGACCACAGGCATTTTAGTAACAATGGAATAAACAGAACACAACAAACATAACAAGCAAAACTGTGTCTACTCAAAAATGCGAAGAGTAAATTTCGTCATCCACTCTTCCAAAGCTCAACAAAGTGCTTTTAAAAAATTGGAAGTATAACAAATATTCTCCCTTTTCAGCCATATATTAAAATACGTGTACATGGTAATACATACTACTTTTGTTTGCTACACAGAATATGACAATTACTAGCAAAAAATGTCATGGCCTTTCAAATTCATGTTTTTTATTACAAGTGGTAAAGCAAACAACATTGTTTCTTACTGTACATACCAAAGAGTATGTGGGTTGTCTTCATTGAACTTGTGACAAAGTTTTAATATGCTTCTTGGCAACTTTGTAACTCAAGAGGATTAAATACATCTTGTATGTATGTATGTTTTAAGTAACCAGTACAGAGTACTAAATACAAGTAAATACAACTTCAATTCTATGATTGTTTTCAACACAGAAAGCAGGCACCTTACACAGCATGCATGCAAACTAGTGCACCCTCAAATCATTATCCTACCCCTATTTCAACAGTAAGGCATAGGAATTTTTAGTTAGAAAATGATATAAAAATTGCAAGGCAATAAAATTCAGTAGTATTACAAATTTAACATAATGTATTGCTTACTATTCACCAAACCTTTAAGTTTAACACACACTAGAATGTATGAAGAACACACTGGATAAATGCTATCTACAGTTCTGGTGGCTTTCCCCTATGGCATAGTTCATATCAGCAGTTTACATAGAGGCCACAATAGTTTAACCTTGTCACTGCTGCCTAACTTCATAACCAATACAAATTTGGTGCCAAACAGCTACCTTAGCAGGCTGAAGGTTAACGGAGAGGCATAGAGGATAAGTTATAGACTCACGATTCATAAATACATCAGATACAAGTACAGTTTTGTCAGTAGAGTCAGCACCAGTAAAGATGACAGTAGTACATGTGTACTAGATAAACATGTATGTTTGTTGTCCCCAATTTGACTGCTTATTATCTAGACCTTAGACTGATTTAAAATGGCCGCCGCTTTTGGAAAGAGGTCTAGCACATTCAGGCCACCAGGGAGAAAACACAACTACATGCACTTTTACATCAGTGTTGGCAACATGATTGAAGTTTCTTTCCAACACCAAAAATGAACACCCAAATTGTCAACTTTCGATGTTGACTTTCTTCAGTAAAACCAAGGAGGTTTAAAATCAAGCAATCTTGTATTTAACCTCCTTGGTAAAACTGACCCACCCACTACTAACAAAGGTCAAAGGTCAGAAGTCAGTGAGCATCGGTAGAAAATCCGGTGAATGGACATCATTTGCATTGGAGAAAAATTCTGAATGTTGTTAAAACTACCCTTATGTTACTTATGTGTTGATGACATGGAAGGTTCTGGAGAAGCTGGGGTCATGATCTCAGTATCACCATGGTAACCAGTCCTGGAAAACAACAAGAAGCACAGTTAGCACCTTGACATTACATTTGAACTGTTAGTAAGGGTTGCAGTCACACTTTTTGGGCGTTCTACACTGTTTTAGGATATTCAACCAGGCCATGACATAACCAACCACTGGCAAGGTTAGCCTTAGACAGCCCAATATTTTCCTAGGATGTATGCAGCTAGAAAAATTGTTGCAGTACATGTATTTGAAAAACTGCTGTAAAACAACCCACCTAGTATGTAAGCTGCGACAAGTTTCTGGTTGAGGGTGAGGTGCAGGTAGTCAGGCAGGCTGGAGCCCTTGTCGAGGAGGTGGGTTGGCAGGGTCAGGACAAGTATACAACAAGTCGCGATGGCGATGATCACAAAACCGGGGTGGGACGGACGGCTTCTCACTGCAAGGAAACAGATAAATATCATCATTTGATTATGAGACAACCAATTATAAATGATAGCTTTATCTGTATCACTTGGTAGAAGTCGTCCTGAAACAAGATTGACCTGTGACTTCTAGCATCTATCTGCATAACACAGTATCACAGAAGCTAATTCCTTGACAAGGACTGGAGTTGTATAGTCAAAAATTTGGGTAATTTTTTTTGTGGTGGAAACTGTTTCAAACCTGTTTCAAAATTTCAAATAAGCTAGTAGACCTTTAGAAAAGTGGATGTTGTTTTTACCTCTAAAACTACACTTAAATCCTTTTATTGATCACTAAATATATATCTTTGAGACAATCTCACCATGTTGGCTTCTGCCCCCAGAACTGTCAGTCTCCTGGCGGCGGAGAGCGGACACCATCCGCTCCTCGCCCGTCCCGCTCTCGTCTTCCTCCCTCCCCGCCGAGGCCAGCAGGAGGGCCATGATGTCCTTCTGACCAATCAGACGCTTCTGCCCATGCTCGTAGACGTTGAGGCGAAACTTGTCCCGGATGCCCTGCTGACTGGGCGCGATGTCCGCATGTCTCACTACACTGATGGTGAAGAAATCAAAACAGATTCTTATAGGGCCACACTGAATTAATTTTATGGATGACATCCTCTGACGGCCCCAAAACTAGTGCATATGGCCCACCCCCCCTCCAAAAAACATGCTGCAAAGCCTAAGATATGCAAAGCTGGTATTGTGAATTTGCTACATGACTACTTTTTACGACAAACCGGGACATGCTGGCCTTTTGCGGCATTTGTGAGTCGGCACTGTACTGAGTTCTTGAGTTCCGTGGAGCTTCAGCAGCCTGGATGCCATCCTCTGTGGCTACATGTACAGGCAGCTCCCTATGGTCACCAGCTACCATGGACTACAGAGGATGGCACTCATGAGGCTAGACCCTCGGAGGACAAGGCAAAAATCTTACTTAAGTGCTATGATGTTACTTACTAAATGAGTAATTAGGAAGCATATATACTAAGAACTCACATGTCCACACAGCAGTGAGGTCTGATGGTCCCCTCAGAGTCCACTACTACATACTTCTTAGGGGCTGTACAGAGAACTGGAGAACACACAACAGCAGGAAGTAAATATGACAAGCAAAATATTATGAATAGAATCATGATACGTCTTTCATTTTTAAGGATACCTTTGGCCTCAGAAAAAGGAGGTACTGGTATCATTTTCTTCTTATTTGTATATAGAAAGCTGAAGGCACATAGACTTTGTGTATGGTGCAAATCAACCTAAACTAAAGATCACAACTTTCAAATATAAGTTAGAGCTTTTTTGTGGTATTTTCTGCAGTACACAAACTACGACATCACTGACACTGTTGAGTTAGTAAACATTTTTGATAAATGTGCTGTACTCACGTTTGAACCTGAGAGGGAATTCGTAGGGGTTATACAGGGTCAGGACCTGCTTGTGTGTTCTCTGGTCGTCAGCGTAGAAGGTCAAGGCCGTGGGGAACACGAACACTGGAAGACGTCCCTCGCCGATCTGCGGCGGTTCCCGCGGGAAGTGTATCGGGGAGCCGCCGGGCGACGGTCTGCGCTGTACCGCCCCGGGCCCTGGCGCCCGCTCCGGGCGTAATGGCTGCATCGGTTACCACTCTGTACCTGTACAGCATAGCATGTCTGCAAAATAAAAGATGGACCCGAGTCATACACAAATACATATCTAATTCAAATCTTTTACCTTATGTCCCAACAAAACAGAAATGCAACAGAATTCCTGTTTTAATTGTAGAGCCGTTGTGTGTTCTTCATGTAATTTTTGCAAATAATTGTTCTGTGTAATGTTTGTAATGTGTCACAGCATCAGCTGAATTGCTGCCTAGTGTATTGCCATTGCAATCTGAATAAAGAAAGATAGAATTCCTGAGTCCCATCATTAATGATATTATATTATTGTAGTCAACAATTAATCTTACTAATTCATCAACTACCTAGCTTTCATGCTAAAACTACCACTACTCACTAGTCATATCATTTTTTAAAATACTGATTTGCTTGGTTGTCCTTGCTTCTGTAACATCTATTTGTGCAATGTCTGGCAAATGTAAACATATAAATATGACTAATATTGTATCTTAAGCTGGACTTATTACAAAGCTGTAAGGTGCTTGCCATTATGACTTATATTCTACTTTCTGATTTATCCTTTCTTATTATACTTATCATAACAACACATTAACCCTACCAGTTTCTCTCTTCTGTCCAGTATATTGAGTGTCCTTCTTGTGTGCCTATATCCCAGTTTGGGGGACACTACATAGGACATAGGTCATCTAAACAAGGCTCAAACAATGGTAAAATATAGCAGTAGCCTGATATGACCCTAAACCCATACATCAACCATATTGATATATGAGTTGCTTGCAGAAATATTCCCATATGGCAGCTTGAAAGGAATGCTTTGATGACTTGAAGCTGTTTTGCTCTGAATAAGGTCATGGACTGGCTGTTGACATTTTGAGTGCCCGTAGCACCAATTTAGGCATGTGTGCACGTAAGCTTAGACTTCTTGACCTACAAATGATGATGCATGTTTTCTACTTAAAAATTAAATCACAATGGAATCATATGTGAAATCATATGAAAAGACCTGTATCAAGCAAATATTGATAAATTAGAATCCGTTCTAGATATTAGACAGTCTCACTCGATCAGGTGAACCCATCCATCCATCCATAGGCTTAAAGTTAATACTATCTAGAGTAAGTCCATACAAATATTGTCTTTCCATGTGAACCATGTGGCCATAATCTATCAACCTGTCAAAAATCAGTTCAAAGGGGACAAGGTACTACTAGTAATAGTAGTATCCATGCAGTGGTTTAACTTCTCTCCTTACAAATTATTTCATAAAAACTTAACAATTGCCATGATTGTAATAGTGATACAATATTTTAGGAAACCATAAAAATCTTGGCTTCATGGAAAATGATATAACTGATATATGTATGTATATATATATATAAATATCCAATACTGAAAAATGTCTTAGTAAGTTAGACATAAATCTGTTTGTCATAATTTGGAAAAGGGAACACTGAAACAAAGAAAATATATTGGGTGTGTGTAGTTATTGGGGAGGGGGGGCAGCAAAATGGTTTCAGAAAATTCACATGACATTTAGACGTATGTATCGAAAACCTACTTGTAATTTTCATGAACTGACTAATTGCAATACAGAAATGCATCATTTATGTACACGTATCGTTGAGTTATAGTTAGGTATGACTAAGACTAAAATATTTTCTGCTCTGACACAACAAAAACACAGTGTGAAAACACCCTTTGTTTTCAAGAAACAAAACTCGAATATAGCTAGCGTTACCATATATTGTTTTCATTAGGCTTTGAGCATTTTACTCACCTCTATACATTTACGGTTACTTCAGGCTCCAGGTTTTGCCTTCAAAAAATCGTACAAACGGTCAAACTGGACATCGACGTTCGCGATGTTTTGACCACTTTGTTTTCGGCCGGGGATTCTATTGCGTAATTTGTGTGAAACGTCATCGAACTTGGTGTACGCAGGACGTGATGACGAAGTACGCACCAGGGTGCGAGCCTCAGGGTGCAGGTAAGCATGGCGCAGGATTCACCTGGTGGAGAAAACGGACAAAAACAACAAAAACTCAGGTAACTTTGGAGCAGATAGCTGATCCCGTAGCTCTGTATTAGATTCTAGTTCCTGAAAAACACGTTAGTTACGTGTTTGGCATAGATCTGCTCGCAATAAAGTATACACTATAGTGGGGAGGGGGGCAAGGGAGGGACATGTTTTTACTTCAATATTTATGGCACAATATTCTGTAAACAAAAGCATCTAGAGAGATGTAGAAGAGACAGAAACAAAGCACCATGAAAGAAGAACACAAAAAGGCCAAGTTTAGCACAATGATCATAATGATAGACGTAAAAATAAGGACTATACCAAGTCCCCTGTAAAGATGTCTACTCATGTTTATAACAGCCACAAACAGAGGAAAGCCTTGTGGAGGAAGGAGAAGAGACGAAAGAAACGCCAGGAAGAAGCAAGAGCAAGGGAAGAAGAGTTGCAAGGTGAGGATTCTTTTGTCTATAGTATGTGTATATGAGTTTGAAATATTGCAAGCTACAGATTTTGCTTCTTCAACTAAAACAAATTACACAATATATGTTTATACATTCAGAACAGGGAACAAGTGAAGCACCAGAGAAGGGAGAAGAGAGTGAAGAAGAGAAGAACAGACAAGAAGAAGCAGCAGAGAGGTACATCATCATGACTGGTCTCCAAATTTAGTAACACCTGTTGATAATGTTCTGTTCGACTCAGTAGTCAGTTCACAGTGAACCGTACTGTATGGAACAGTAGTTAGGCCTTGACTACTAGTATTTGTTACACTAGATTATGACATATGTCGAGTGCAACTCAAATCTGATGATCAGTGGTTGCTCAGAAGCTGATTCAGTAATGATTGATTAACAGGGACAGCACCAGTTATGGTTGGAGAGGGAGGGTGTTTGTTACACTACAGTAATGTTTGATTCCCAGGGAGAGACAGCACCAGTTATGGCTGGAGAGGGAGGCTCGGGCACAGCACGAGTTTAGAGTCAGAAGGGAGAGAGAGGAGACCAGGAGGAGGGAACAGGAAGAGCAGGAGGTACATCTGCCCATCTTACTCTTCTTATTCTTTGGCAGTTCAGTCAGTCTTTCCTATCTTGCTCTACACAGGAAATATTTAAACAAACTGAAGATTGGTAGAATTCCTTAGTCTTTTATTAAGCTCTGTAAAGATGCAAATGTATGCAAATGTAGAAACATTGGCCCAATGTTTCTACTGAGCTTAACTGTTACATGTACTTGTACATGGTGCATTAGTATTGCTCATGTAAATAGGACATAAAAATCATCATGATGGCATCATAGTTATATTTCAGATATTTCTTTTTACTTGGATTACAGAGGTTGATCAGAGAAGAATGGGAGGAACAACAGAGAAAGGAGAAGGAGGCAAAAGAAAGGAAGGAACGAGAGAAGAAGGAACAAGAGGTGACGGCCCTGTGTTCCAGATTGATATCCATGTTTTCCTACACATTTCCTGGACCTTGATAACCAGGACAGGACCATATATAGATACATGTATATAGGATTTATAGTCTATAGCTATAAGCCAACTGACATGCTTGCAACACAGTCATCTCTAATTGATAACACTGAAGCTGTATACTGGTAGTTGCAGCTTTTAATCTTAATTTATGATTGCAGTGCAAATGTGTTGATTGGCTTAAAGACTTTCCACATTACGTGTACCATCTATAGCTCACAGTATCACACAACATATTGAGATATTACTTACATGTAGATTGCATACTAGTATTTAAGACTCATAAGTCTCATTGTACAGGTTGTATATTGTTAATGTACCTTTGTAGTTAATTAAATGTATTTGAGTCTTTTAAACATCATTCCTTAACTGCAGTCATACATAATATTTGGGAGGTTCTGGAGAGCAACATCCACCTTGTATCTTTTCTTGTGTATCTTCTAATACACATTGTATTATGCAAGGGTCCTCAGTATTGCCTTACCGTAGAGTGTATGCAGCAGGAAACCCACAAAAGGACTCATTTTCTTTTTGGAGTCAAGACTGATTGAACCATAGAACTAGAAGGATAATTGGCCAAGTTTCACCAAAGCCTTCAAGTCAATGTTTACCTAGATCTAGAATGGAACCGGAAATACATGTACTACCCATACTTGAACTGCGTATACCTTGACAAATATCCACCAGATCAGTAAAGCTTGGATTGGATGCAGGATTCAACCAACAATTGTGCATTCAGAACTTGGGCAACCCTTGCAGTGGGCTGTATCTTTTATGTACACCATTTTATGCCATCACTATGTATACATTGTACGTTAATGAGAAGTGTACAGTCATGCTCTTTAGGATCTGAAGAAGAAGCTGTGTTGCTGCCATTTTTACAGTTAAAATAAGATATTTGTTAAGATACTTGATTTATCCAAAAGCAGTTGTGTTTGTGTGAACTTCTAACTTTTTTGCAGCCCTTTGATGGTGAAAAAAGGAGCATGTTTAGTGTGAAAACTTGGAGTATATTAAAAGTGCTGGTTTGTGCTCATTGCATTGGACTTAACCTCATTCCCAGCATAATGTGTGCTCACCCATGATGCATCTGTATCCTACCAGGACAAGTTGAACAGGATGTTAGCGTCTACAGGTACATCAGGAAATAAGGTAACTTAATCTGCAAACATTCACTCAAGCAAAACTATATGTCCAGTTTTTGATCTGTCAAACAAAACTGAAAATATTGTTTTTTGTTTGATACATACAGAGGCTATGTTACAGTTCTTAAGTAATTGCAGCCATGTTTAATCTTTACAACTCTTACAGAAACATAAAATTTGGTCATATGTGAAATGTCTGTTTGCCCCAGTTTGCTACTAGCGGTTTCCGTGTTACATTTGTTATTGTTTCTTCCTAATTATTGTTTGTGAAATGAATTTTTCCCTCAGAAGAAGGATGAATGGCACAACCCGATAGCTCCAGCTGACTACAGCGCAGGTGGGGAGGTGCCTGCCCCAACAGGCAGGGCAGCAGAGGACTGTCCCTTCTTCAAGAAAACTGGTGCCTGTAGATTTGGAGACAGGTATGGGATTCTAGCACAGTTTAGTACATAGTACTAGTACCTTGCTACTGCTCCATGAATATCATGAGTGTAGATAAGAATATTAAATATGAATTTAAAAAGTACACAATAATTATGTATACATGTACATGAAATGTGTAATGCTCAACACATGAAATTCAGTCAAGATGACTGAATATGACCTTTTCTTGCCAATTTTTAGGTGCTCCAGAAAGCACACCAGACCTGACACATCCACAACTCTCCTTATCCCTGGTAGGTATAAGTTTAAAATGCCACATCTTATAAATAACTCTTCCTAGCCACAGGATTTCAGCTTACTAGTATTTTGATAAAGGAAGTGAAGTTTTACCAAATTCAAAACAGGATGAACTCTTAACTCTCAATTTCTGTAAATCCATTTTTTTCACAAGACTTTTATCTTCACTATACTATTTCACCGTCACATTTGTACTGTAAATTTATCATTACTACATAACTGTCATGGAATCATTTGTCTTTTGCCTTCCCTTCCTGATCGAACTTTTCCCCATTGTGAAGATTTTAACTTAAAAGTTCTGTGAAAACTATGTTCCCTGAACACGTCAATTTTCTGAAATTTTGCTACTGTGAAGGCTAAGTGTATAATTACAGTACACATAGTCAGTTACTAATCTTTAACACTTTACTAGGGATGTTTGGTACCTTTGCCCTGGACCAGACCCAGAGGGATGACTTTGATGAGACCATGTATCTGGAGTATGGGGAGGATGAACTGTACAAGGACTTTATAGAGTTCTACAACGACGCGCTGCCAGAGTTCAGGACACTGGGGAGGGTCATACAGTTCAAGGTCAGGGCGACATTTACTTTTTTGTCAGCCTTCAAACCACATTCTGTTTCCACTGGAAAATGTTATACCAAATTGTTTTTATTTATTTATTTGTTTATTAGTTCAGCTTACAACAGCCAGGGTTGCCCAACTAGTTGTAGACCATTGTTAAGGGTCAACCCTTGCAGGAAGGTTATTGTGGATGTTTATACATTGAAGCATACATAGTAGGAATGGATGGTGTAAAGTGCATCTTGCTGTTTCCATTGTACAAAAAGAGAGAAGTTGTACTTTCTCTCCCATGGTATGTACGAGTTGATAGCTGGTGTGATACGCCGAAGGCCGGTTATACCAGCTATACAGGTACAGACGTATGGAGTGTTTTACAGAATTTATGTCATTCTGTTTGACAGGTCTGCTGTAACCATGAACCACACCTGCGAGGGAATGTCTATGTTCAGTACGACAGGTGAGCTTCCAGTATGCTGGCTCAGAAAAACCTGTGCAAGGCTGTTCCTTTTTCAAGTTCAAAAATATCCTGAATTTTTCCTTCCTCTTCCTTGTAATATTAATTGCCCAAGATCCTTAATTGCACTTATAATAAGATACAATCAACACTCAGTGAAACAGATCTCTGACCTTGCTAGTATCAAGGGGAAGCAGAGGAAACTTGCGGTACTGACAATGGTGACTTATTGTAGCATCACATTGTTCAGTGTGTATTTTCTCCTGTGTTAGGGAGGAGGACTGCTTGGAGGCTATCAAGAAGTTCCACGGTCGCTTTTATGCAGGTAGACAGCTCACCTGTGAGATGACACCTGTAACAAGCTGGAAGTCTGCTATTTGTGGTGAGTTTTCGCACTGACTGTTTTTTCAGTTTACTCATGCAGCACTTAATCTAATTTAGAGTAAGACTGTATTTGAACAGCAATTCTGTGCTGAATAATTTCATATTATTGTGCTCTTTCTTTTGTGAAAATTTGGTACTGTGATATGGCATTTAAACCAAAAATCATTACCATTTCATTGTACTACTGTTTATCAGTTTATTCATATTGCTGTAACTTGTATAAAATGAGTTGTTTTTATTTCTAACTTTATGAACTGTATATATATCTGTAGGCCTGTTTTCTCGGAAGAAGTGTCCGAAGGGTAAGAACTGCAACTTCCTGCACGTGTTCCCCAACCCCGGGCGGGAGTTCCGAGACGCAGATGAGGACCTTCACCTGGAGGGCCTGCGGAGAGACCAGCACGACAGCCGGCGCAGCTGGAGGGAGTTCAGCGAGCGCCGCGGCTCAGTCAGCTCCAGGTCTGTACAGTATCTGTATAGCCGGTATAACAGTGTACAAAATACTTTTTTAAACCAGGTTGCACAGTGGGCAACCTATGGCAAA